TATACAATGGTTGGCCACCAAAAGATCACATAAATTATTTGATTTGAATCACCTTCCCGTTCGGCTGAGGAAGCTCAGGCTGTCGCAATGAGAAGGATGGAGGCGAAACAATCGATGGATCTCAGCCCGGCCCATTCATGGTGTACATGGTCTTTCGCTATGTGGGCTGATGATATACACTGCACGGTCCAAGTGGAAAAAGTATGTGCCTTTTGTATCATTTCACAATTTCTTCCCAAACTATATCATAATAACATCCACGGGTCATGGAACTCTTGAAACATCCCAGGTTGAAGGATGAGGTTTGCCAGGAGAAAAACGTGGTGAGACAGCTGAGCCTTGCATGGAATATACATGTAAACACTTTGGCCATTCTATCCAAAGTTTCTTTGTGAAAAAGTTGAGGAAACCAAGATCCAATAGTTTCATATCTGGTTTTCTGACCACTCAGGTGCACTGATCTGATGTCCCTTGAAAACACGTCCAAGCAGGGCGCTTGGATTATAAATTCCTTTATATGTCAACCCAGCTGTGGCTGTCTTTACATGTGAAAGCACTGTATATAGTAGGTGTCCCCCATCCTTCTATCATCGTCATTCTGAGGTCCATGTTGAAGGATGCCAAGCGTGCCTCCCCAAAGACCAAGCCCAGGGCTCCCAAGGGTCCCAAAAAACCCAAGACCCCAGGAGCTTCAAAGAAGCCCTCTGCGTCTGGGAAGAAAGTCCCAAAGAAACCCAAGTCCCAAAAGGGCAAGGGCAAGGGTGCTGCCGTTGATGTCTCGGTGCCAGAAGCTGAGCCCTCCACTGGCAAAAAGCCAGCGGGCAAGCCCAAGCGTCGCCGCACGGCCTGAGTTGAACATCCATGCAAGATCAGCTTGAAGAAAGCACCCAAGAGTTCCAAATAAAAACTCAACATATGTGGATGCATGGGACCTAGTTTGCTTTATATATATATATATATGTGATCATTCACTTCATGCATGCTCGTCATATAGTATATCATGGCAGTGTTCAGCTGACTTGTTGGATGTCTTTAGGGGTTTGCATGTGAGAAACACATGTATTTTGGCATAATTCCTTTATTCGCACCCATGGCGATTTTGAGCCTGATTTGGGAGTGAAGGGTTGGGCGTCAGCCTGCATAGCAAAGAGTGCTACAGCAGTCCTAACTGCTGGGCTATGTCATGCCAACCAAAAGTTGTCTCACTGAGCGCAGGTGTGTTCACATCTTGTTGACAATATATATAAATATATATATAGATAGATTTATATCATATGTATGTGAGTTAAATACTATATATAATTCTACCTGCATATATCAGTTGGCCCATCCCAGTTACCTGACTGTTTTGCCAGGTGCCTCCCACAAAGCTCGCCAGCTTGCATGGCGATATGGCAAAGGAGCAGCTTGGGAGAAACGACGCAGATTGTTGCACTTATACAATTCCCTTTTTTGAGATTCAAATATACATCGTTAATGCTATTCTGATGTTGCAGCATCTGCCACTGCTGATCCCTGATGTCAAAACATAAACCAAACTGCAATGTTGGTGTTGCTTGGGAATTTCCCACATGCCATTGTTTTTTTTGGGGGTTGAAAGAGAGTCTGGATGGTGAACCATGCTATATATATAACTATATATATATATATTCCCCGTGTCAAACATATATATATATATATGTACAATGTATCCCATCCTGTATATATACAAGTGTATCTCTGTAGATATAGATTTGTTACCTTGTTGTCCTTTGCACGCTGCTCAGGAACCATGCCGTGAGATCATTGCTTTTGCTAAAGCGGATTGGCGAGATGCATGCGAAAGTGGTACCCACTATGGCCTTTGCCCTGTCCTCACAGGTCTCCGGAAGTCTAGTCCAAAAAAGTCAGAGACCTGCTTGGGTAATTTCCAATGAAAATCTTTTCTCTATGTCCATCAGCCTTTATGAAACTGACATGATTCAATGTTTTGAGCTAGAGCCCCCAGGAAAGCATTATATTTATCTGAATTGACCAATGTTTGAAAGGGATTCATTCCATTAGTTCCAGCTCAAAAATGGCCAGCCAAGGAACAAGAAGTACATCGGCTTTTTGCAAAACATGGCTTACTCTATGGGGTCCCCATCACTGAAGAGACTAAGCCACCACTGCAAGGATTCCCTTGGATCCGGCCTAGAGATTTTTTGAGGGCGATGCACCAGCACCGTGATTTGGGACATATATTAGCAGGCTTTGACACTGTATCCAGTGCAAGACATGTCCTCCACACATTTTGGACTCGCTACAGAAAAATTCACCCTGGATTTCAGCTGTTTCAGCAAATCGACCAAGGGCAGAAAGCTATGGAATTGTGTGTACCTCTTTATCTGCATGGAGACGAGGGGGTTACATACAAACGTGGGGGTGTGCTAATCATGTCATTTCAATCCCCGTTGGGATTTGGCACGTCAAAACGTGAGCAACAACTCTCATTAAATCTTCAAAATCTTGGAGAAGCAGGGCTGCCTTTGAATTTCTTGAAGAGTGGTATGTACACTCGTATCCTCATGGTCATGTGTCAGAAGGACATGGGTTTTTAAGGAAACAGAGTTTTCTACATTGTTGGTTTCTGAATGAATCGTCCTGTTAGTATATATTGTATGAATTTTGAACCTTTTGTGTGACATGGGTTCATGGTTTTCATTCTTGCGTGTATATATGGGCATGTGAGGGTGTGTTTCGGCATATGGTTGGGACCCATGAGCCCTGAAAGGACATGTACAAGGATGATCCTCGCATTTGGCACGCTATTTTCGAAATGGTTGTAGCTGATTTTGCAGACCTTGAAGAACATGGGATAGATTTTGGCAGTGATGGCATGATGTACCCAATCATCATTGGCAACAAGGGTGATTGGTCCTACCTCGTGTCTTGGTTACATTGACCTTCTGAAAACTATTTTCTTTGCAACCTGTTGTTATATAATACCTTTGTTCATGTGTAATCACCCAGTATATGCACCTCAGTGAAATCATTCCATATAGTTTTTTACCCCTCCCTGACAAAGCCTGCAAGGTCTCCTCGGGAAACTTGGAAAGATCATACAGACGCAGCCCAAAAGGTGCGAAAGAAGGGCAGCAGGACGCAGATGAGGGGGCAGGAATTTGCCATTTGTGCATGGCTGGCCATGGGGTCGATTGGGAGAATCTGTAGCTAGTTTGCATTTTGAAAACTGTATTTTGTTTTAGTTGCCGTTATTGTGGCAAAGGTTGTGCTGTATGATTTGTATGTATGTTGAAACTCTCTGTGTAATTAAAGGATGAACCCAATTCCTCTTCATATGCCCCTGACCATCAGCATTTCATGTAAGGAAAGTGGCAGAGCAAGCAATGGCAGAAAGCCGTCAGCAGCAACTTCCCTTGCCGTGGCGTCGTGAGTCCCCAATCACAAGGTTACTGTTGCATGATTCTTCCTTTGGGGGGAAAGCACGGTTCTACAAAATGGACTTGTGGCATGGGTTCCATTTGGGAATCGGAAAATCTTGGGCAGCTGGTGGATTGCTCATGATTCAACAATTTGTTGAGGGAACATCCATTGATGAGCGATTCAAAAGATTGACATGTATGTACCAACGGTATTGCAAGGAGAACCACATCAACAAATACATTACAAAGATCGACAAGTTTTTGTGCGGGGGAGGTGGGTCTGCTGAACCGCTTGGCACCTGGAGCAAAGCAGCTGTTACTACAAACTTGTGCCTCTTCCTGGAGTTTTTTTTTGACCAGTATCCAGATGTCATCAACCACGATGAAAGTGTTTACTACATGGAGTCTTGGATTTTGGATTGGACTGTTTCTTGTTTCCCATATATACTTTTTGACTTTTTTTGTACCATGACTACTTCTTAAAATAGCATGCATGGGTCTATGCCAGGCACATGGAACTCGAATGATCAATTCAGTTTTTCAACGGCTCTATGCGGGTGATTTGTGGCTTCGGCGATCTCTGGGCCTCGAGATTGCACATGGACTGTTACAATTTGTCAGGGCATACTCGTTTGAAGCTGCCTTCTTCTATGAACAGGGTCTTGTCAAGTTTGGGCTTTATCCGAAGCTTCATTTGCTTCATGAAGTGTGGGAACAAATGGTCTACGAGTCCACCCAAAGTGACTGGATATACAATCCTATAGCAGAGACATGCAGTGTTGACGAAGATTTCGTGGGTCGCTGTGCTGTTTTAAGCCGATCCGTATCCCCTAGATTAAATTCTTTGAGAAGTTTGCAACGTTACCTTGCGCAGATTCAGCAGAGTTGGCAACGCTGAAAAAACATGATGGGCTCTGGGTGTGGCTGTTTGAGGATGGTAGTTCCATTAAAGGTGGTGTCTGGGCTGTTTGGGGCTAGTTTTGCAAATGCCTGGAACCTTCATTTGGGATGGACATGTACATGTCTGAGATGCCAATATATGTGCATGCATGTATGCTACATATATATGTGTGTTTTTTTCATAATTTTAGCCTTTTTGAGGGATTATTTGGAGCTACCTTGTAGATACGTAAAAAACCGTTCCTGCACGTAAAAAACCGTTCAGGAGAGTAATTGATATACCACAATGGTTATTATTAATAATCTGCAGCCTGTAGTATAAAGATACTTACCAGGGGGCTGCAGGTATATATTAATATATAAATATGTATAATATCATAATTTTGCCTCATGGCCAGTTGGGGGTGTACATATCATCATTAATATTATCCTTATTTTCAGACACACCTATTTATCATCTTGTTGGTTAGATATCCCATGTCCCAAGTGATGTTCCCATTTCTAGATGGTTTTCCCAGATACAGCATTCACATATTCACATAAAATCGCGCATGGTCCAATTGGCCATTGACCCATAGGATCCATGGTGCTGCTATATATGGTAACATGGATCCCATCAATATACCCCATTTATGTTAGCATATATACCAGCACCATGGATCCTATGGATGATAAATTCAACTTTTGTCGAGCGAGGTCCCGACTTGATGATGTACGAGCGAGTGAAGTTGCTGCTGGACGTCCCAAAAAAGGATGGCGTGCCGTGATGGCACGGATGGCGTGCCGTGCGAATTTGTTGCCAGGGGAGGTGATAGGAACGACATGTGGGAAATATGGGTAAAGCATCTGGCTCATTTTTGGGCAAATGTTGGTAAATAGTCCATACATGGAGCATATGGGCATGGGAAACCAATATTTATTCAGGAAAATCACGCCAATGAACCAACCAGATCACTGGTTTTATGGACGTTTCAAGATTCTTTTCCGCTGGTCAAAGTCTAAAAAATGGGAGAGATGCTGCTAGGTCAAGAGTGAAAGAAAGTATCCACAGATACCGAAGTTTACGGGTGACTCCTGCAGTGCTGGTCCTTTGATTGCGAAATCCGTGGGAATCGGTTAACAAAAAGTCCCTGAAAGCAGCATCGGCTGAACCACTTTCCGCATCAATTGTGAACCCATGATATGTCCATTCAGTATATATATATATATACATACACGTATTATGTATATATATACTGATTATATTGCAGGTTATTTTTTTTGACAGCAGGTTATTGCTCTTGAGGGGCAACCGGCCAAGTAATTACTGGTCACAGGTTGGATGGTGTAGCATCATTCCGCTAGCCATTTGCCAGAGTCCCAAAGTACAACACCAATCATTAGAATCATTAGACATGCATGGAGCAAGATCACAGACTCAGTCTCTTCAAATGTTGTCGTTTGCATCCAGTTGCCCTTAACCTGCATGTTTGCTGCAAGTTTGCATTTCATTTGGTACACCAAGCTTACATGATCAGATTCCAATCGCACATTTGAATCGTAAGAACAACAAAAGCACTGAAGCCGTTGCAATTTCGCCCTATTTCGCCGCTGCCGTCCGCCTCTGAGATCGCGCTCAAAAGAGCGGCTTCTTTTGGGATCTCCCCATTTTTTTTTTGCGGCTTCACCGAACTTGGCTTCAGATAGGGAAGTCAATATAAGCTTCACCTTGCAGGCAAACCTATCAGCTGGGTAACCAAGCCCAATTATCGTCAGGCAACTGGCAGGATGGGGAATTTCCCCAGCCAAAATTGGGAGGAAGACAGGCAATTGGAGCCCCCGGGATTGCTTTACAAAGCACCAGGTGGGGCCCCGGAAACAATAGGAAAATGTTGATTTAAGCACTAAAAATGGTGATTTCATGGGATTTAGAGCTGATTTATGACAAAGTTGAAGCACATAACTTGGCGCACTGTTGGGTTTATGGAGGATGCAACGAACTAGTATTTCATAGGTGTCATAAACCGACTTGTAACTAGCTGTTGGGGGCCCCACCCTGCGGAATCCAAACCGCATCAAACCGCAGCGTCAATGCGTTGGTCGTAACTAGAAACTTTAAGACTCTAAGAGGTTTGCTGGCAATTCTTGAGCTTGCATATGCGTCATGATGTGCAATGATGTAAATAATATATTATATAGAGATGAATTTTCTCTGAAGTAAGGCATGCGAAATATCTTAAGCCTCTTGATTTTGATCTGCAAAAGAAGTACTGCAGTTCAGTCTGTAAAATTCGATCAGCAACTAGGAGCCAGTGCAGAAGTTCTGCCCAGTTCGGGTTCCTTTGAGGCGATTTCCGCGATTTCGTCATGGCGTTTTGCTGCATCGCAGCCTCGAATGAGGACTCTCAATCTGCTCCCGGGACACCTGTCCCGAAAAAGGGTGCTACAGTTACAAGGTGCTGCCCCCCAGTTGTAAGTTGGTTTATAACACCCATCAAGTATAGGTATATCTACCATAAATCCAAGTTATTGGAGTTACAAACCAACTTAGCTACCTATGGGGCACCACCTTGTATAAATCTCCATACCATCCTGGTGTAAAATTGCACCTTGCACCTTTGACCCCCCAGGACGAGCATGTGACGTATATTGACGCTGTGAGTGCCACTGCGGTCGGGCCACCCAACTATGGTTTATGACTTGGGGTAAACCAAGAGAGATAAGGAAAACCTATGGTTTCCCTGTCTATAAGTGGTGGGTTTTCCACATATATCTTAGTTTACTGTAAGCCAGCAATTGTTCGGAGACACTATGGGATCTAATGGGGTATACAAAATGATTTCGGGTGTTTGATTTGAAAATGGGGCATGCCCCAAAATGGCGTTCTGATTGGGAATGTGATGACGAACCACTGTTCTTTTCAGATTTTTCAGTCAACCCTGGGTTGATTCATTCATTTTTCACTGGCGATTAGCCATTTCGGTGATAATTGATTGGATGCAGCATCCATTGTTTTCAATAATGTGGGCAAAACAATGCCATAAACCATTCCCCGGTCATCACCATTTTTATAGTTGGCATGTTTACATGCATGTTTACCATTCCCAAATTTTAATTTATGGGTGGTTTATGATATTGTTTTACCCACAGTTTTACCGTAAAAACTCCATCAAAACATGGACTTTTGAAGCTGAATTTCAGAAAAGGGGTAAATCATAGGGACTTCAAATAGGGGCGACCTCACAGACTTGATGAAACCATGGTTTAAGCCTTTATTTGTTTGTGAGGTTAAATCATATTATGTAACCACAGTAATTTATGGTTAATCATGGTTTTACATATTAATCATATAAACCATATAACCATAATTATATGTAAAATGGGAAATTCATGTAACAGATCATCGAAACTAAAATGGGAGTGTTTATTTTATTTATTGTAGTCACCCTGGTGGAGTTACCGAGTCTCCTCTTCTTTGATTTTTGTTGGTCAATTGCCAGTTGAGGGACTGTTGTTGATTCTCGACTCCAGGATGGTGCGTATTCTGGGTAGTTTCAGATCATGTTTGTTTTCCTTTGATGCCGCATGCTCATCTCGAGTTTCTCAAGACCATGGCTTCTTTTTCACATTGTTGTGACATGTTGAGACCATAAGCCCTCACCCACCGGCTGGGACTTGCAAAGCACACAGGCATTGTAACCTGCCAACTTCGCTTGATATGTTGTGGTAATTTACAGTAACATATAAAGCTTTTGAAAGTTACCATCTTTAATAGGTAAATCATCTGGAAATTGCCACTGCCCATAGCTATGTTGAATTACTAGAGGGTTACTATGTAGAGATGTCATGCACTCTTAGACTCTAAGCAAGGCTGGATTTGCTGATATGCTCCTAGTTAAACTTGACCTTTTACGCACACAACGAGTTTCTACCTGTTCCAGATTTTTCATGGGCTGAATGGTGTTTCATACTGCGGTTTACTGCGGATTCTCCTGAAAAAACCACGGCTGAACTTAAGTTCTACACTTCCAGAAACACAGCAGCTGGAGCATAGATTTCGAATGATTTAGATATCCCTTTCCACTGATTGGTTGCCTGAAAAAGCTTTTTTTGGGTTGACACCGACTGTCCAAGATTTTGGTGTGTTGCAGAGCTTATCTTGTGCAGACAGCCCTGGCCACCTGAGTGCATGAAAATTTCTAGAATCGATCCCGGAATGAACATGACGAGTCGTCATTTAGATATGAGAACTGCAGCACCTGTTTTGATCATGTTTCAAATAACTATTCTTAGTATTTTTTTTATTAAATATAGATAAATATATAGCACTATCAATTTTAAACTGCAGTATACTACTGTATTAAATCACATTAATCCATCCACTCATAGAAAAACGACACACAGAATTTCACACCCACCGGATTCAGCTCGTTGATCCGACGAGCTGCAAGGAAGTTCCCACCTCTAGGGATCCTGTGACTTTCGCAGATGGTTCCAAGCTCAGTCGCCGAAACAAAACGTCGTCCTTTGACGTGCTTTAAAAATCGCAAGATGGTGAAGATCATTCCAGTTTCACCTATGTAACGATAGTTACTGTTTTTTTTTGAAGTTTATATCAACGTATGGCTGATAAAACTATATAGTTAATTACTGGGGTGAAAAGAAACAAACAACCCAAGGGGCCCCACATTGAAACTATGTCATACTATTTATATATAATACATATAGGATTCAGCTAGTTCAAGCAACTTAGCGATTCTGAACTGGGCATCACCACGTTCTTGGAGCGTATTGTCTCATGCAGATGTATTTGGACCTCGGTGGATGTTTGTGTATGGACATTCATACCAATTAATGTACCCTCTGGTAATTTAACGTAGCTATTGAAAATGGCCATTAATAGTGAGTTTTCCCATTAAACATGGTGATTTTCCATAGTTATGTTAGTTTACCAGAGGGTACAGGAGGTCACAGATTGATGGCCCCGGTAAAAGTTAAATCGTATGCCGTATGCCATCAATACAGAAAAACAACGCCTTCAAAACGAAACTTTTTTTGCAACACTAAGATGGCACAAAGGGGTCTGTGACACGTATTTCTCGTGTCGGCAAAACCATAAATCACACTTAGAGGGCATGTATAGGCTATAAGGGTTGCATTGTGAGCCATGTTTGTGAGCAAATCAGACCAGTTTATCATAATGAAAGCAAGGAATTGTAGCCTTGTCCATGATTATTCAATATTAGTCCCTTCTCGCTGATGTCAAATAGCCTGGGTTTACTACTCCATCCATTCAATTTGAGTCGCTTATGCAGGGTTATTTGATATCAGCAAGGTAGGATGCACCTTCGCCCGCGGTTTGCTGAAGTTTCACAGTTCCAGGATTCCAAAAGCAAGTTTCAGATCCAAGTGCGCGCAGAAACGCAAAGCATGGGGAAGAACACAAAGATGTCACACACACACACACAAAACTTGCCCCTGTAATGATATGAAGGGGTTAAACAAGATGCCGCATGAGACATGTTGGCTATATGATTTTTTCGTGCCCAGCCAATTCATTTCAATATGTTCAATTTGTGGAAATATATCAAGCTTGAGATTCCATCCACACGGCATGGAAAGGAACGCTCGCAAAGATGGCACATCATCGAATCCCCCATGTTTTTGGCAAAATGTTGCAAAAAGATCGGAAAATCAGGCCGCCCAAAAGTGTTCAATCTCTTATTGCGTCCGTCATGTGAAAAGGGTGCTTTTGAGGCGCAAAAAAGTCGGTTTTGAGGTTCTGCTGTTCTTTTTTTTCAACGGAAAGGGAGGAGAAAAAAACACAACCACCCAAACGTGGTCCATCATTAAAAAAAGATGACATTCGCTTGATATGCCATCTTGCCGGGCGCAGTGAAGATGGCATCTATTCGTGATCCCCTATATATAGACCTTATGCCTTATACATCTACCTGCACATCTATTGACGCATCAAGTCTGCCTACATGCCAGAAACAATTACCGTGTTTTCCAAGGACGGTGTTTGTATGGCCTTTTTTGCTGAAGATTTTTCTGTTGGTGTCTCTTCTTCATGATATCTTCAACTTTGTTGTTTCATCTCTCTACCACTTACCACCATGTCTTTGCCCAACTTTCTTGCTTCCAGGAATTCCCGGTTTGCTTGCTTCTCGTAAAACAATGTTGCAGGCGAAGTTCTGATTCTGTCTATTTCACATCAGACATCACCACGTTTATGGACAAACATTGGTCAAAAATGCTTTAATACATGTTTTTTTGGCATAAATGAGAACATGTAACCAGTCAAAGAGATCCTGTCACCATTCGGAATTGGTATCCACAAGGTGGTGCTGCCCCAGTCATACATGTTGCTGGTTTATTTTGCCAATCTAACTATAGCTGTAATCGCCAGAAAGTATAGTCAACCTAGCTGTAAACCAACTTAACTCACTAAATCACCCTTAAATCCCCATTAGATCCCCATCAGATCCCATCAAATCCCATCAAATCCCATTGAATCACCATAAAATACCATTAATTCGCGATAATTTCCCGTAAAACCTCATTAAATCCAATTCAAATCAGCATAATTCCCATGAAATCCCATGACATCACCAGTAACTCGCCATGAAACCACCTTTACAAAATCCCATGTTTTTTCATCAGAGGCTCTACCTACAGTGGCCAGTGGGCGGGCGATGAACGAAGCGGAGAAGGGACTCAGGTGGGACACCGTGCTGTGGCCATGATTACCCTCTGGTTATGACTAACATAGCCATGGGAAATGGCCCATTTATAGACTGTTTACCTATTAAAAATGGTGATTTTCCATGGCTATGTTAGTCATAACCAGATGGTATTTGATATAGTGTTCATCTTCATCTGGTTGGTGATTTCAAACATTTTTTATTTGCCATAATATATGGGATAATCCTTCCCATTGACTAATATTTTTCAAGATGGTTAAAACCACCAACCAGATAGTAACATGTGATGATAGTATGAGACAATGTTATGGAATATAACATATGATAATTGTGTTTATGTTTAAAGTCATATAATAACATAGTATAATGATGATATAATGATATGATGATATGATGATATGATGATATGATGATATGATGATATGATGGCATAATAATGATGGCACAATCTTTATCTTGAATAACATGATGACATTACTATTATCCCATGATATAGAGTTTATCTTTAATAACATATATAGTAAAAATACCAACATATTATATATTATCTTACAATAGTTGTGATAACCCATATATTTGTTGGTACAATAGTTATGGGATACAAATAACATCAATATGTGATATAACACGCATATCATATTCTAAATCATTCCCATATACTGAGATACTATAATATAGTTACGCACAGACCCCGTGGTTTGCCAACAGAATAGCATAAACACCCATGATTTTGTTGACGAAGTTGAGCGTGGCATTGTGGCAAGAGAAGTTGCCATTCGGGTGCATTTGGGGTTTACATAACTATAAGTTTGCCACCTCCATGGAGCAATTAACCATCAAAACCATGTCCAGTTCCGGGCAAACCATAGGGTCTTGCCGCATAGTTACAATGTGTATGGGATATAGTTTTTGTATTCATGGGGTTTATAACTATAGTATTCATGGGGGTTACTGTATATCATAGATGGATATAACTATAGTATTCAGGGGATGTTAGTGAAGCATGTGGCAGGGTAAGACCTTTCTGGGGATGGGAACTACCTCTGTGAAACAGATTATCGAACACAAAAAGGTTTATTGTACCATAACTGGGATATCATAAGTATTGTACCATAACTATGTAACTAGGATTATGGGATATCATTCTGATGGTTTATGATACAATAGTTATGGTACAGATGATGAATTTTGAGGGATGGGAACGAATCAAAGCAATTTTCATGGGGACTTAGATTAGCCTATTATGGCAATAGATTCCCATGGCCTGGGAGGACCTTTTTGGGAAGCCAGGGCCACAGCTAACGAAATGTTGATCTGAAGGTTTGTGTAAATTAGGTTGATAGAATTTGATAGATTTCGTTGATGTCACAGACGCTTGATTTTATAAGTATTTTTTAAGTATTTGTTTGAAGGATATGAGAGAGCTGCATGAGGTTGCTGTTGCCTGCGCCGGGGAAGAGAATGTCCAAATATGTTCAAAACCCTGGGATGGACTAGCGTTTTCTGTGGTTATCCCAGAATTTTCAGACAAAACCATATAGATATATCATATATATACAGTGTATATATATATATATATATTAATGTCCATGTGTATATATATATACACATCAGTTAATACCCACATCAAGTTCAGAATGTTCCTGCCAGCATCAGAAAAACTTGGCCAGGTATGGAAGGATGGTGCCAGATACCAGGGCACTTGGCGAGCCGGACAATTTCATGGTGAGGGCAGGCACGGCCTCGAAGGAGTGAAGCAATGGTTTCGTGTACCCGGCCTGGTAAACATACAAAAAGCTATTGAAAATGGCCATTTATAGTGGATTTACCCATTGAAAATGGTGAATTTCCATAGTTATGTTAGTTTACCAGAGGGTAACAATTTTAGAAGCCAAAATTTAGTGGTTACCCTAGGGTCAATGAACAACACGAAGTGGAAAAGCAATGGTGTCCCGAAGGGGGAAAATGATCTGCAAATGGTGGGTTCTCCACATCGAACTGTTAGTTTACCAGAGGGTAATCGTCATGAATAGCCTATTGAAATAGCCCATTTGGACCATGTTTGGTGGTCAAAAAGAATCAGACACAGCCAGTTGGATGTGCACATCCCAGGTATATACCAAGGATTTTTAGCGCATTTAGTAAGTGATTGATAACCGTGACACAATATGCATATGTAGTCATGTATAGAATATACACAGGGCAAAGAAACCGCAGTATTTGCCAGTTCATAGTTGGGATGCATACCAATGCATGAAGTAAGTTCGTATAGGGGGCCAGGGGAGGTCCCAGAAGAAAAGGCACCCAATCTTAACGCCTCACAATATCCAATAGAGTCCTGGATCTGAGGTTGTGCGTGGGCATTTTTTGATAGCTCGTTCCATATATGTATATTATATAATTATATATTATATGTATTATATATATATCATATATTATATTATATATACATTACATATTATATATAATTGTATCATAATATATTAGATCATATATATATATATTATTTATTATAAATATATTATTATACATGTTATATTATACATATTATTTGATTTTGTTTCAACCCATGGATCCGAACATATATCAAAACGTTTTTTGTGCTTTCATTTGTTGGTCTCCAATTGTTAATTCCTTCCCCCTGATATTAAATACAACCCCAGACTCCAGACAGCATAGTTTACTAATAGTGTTATTGGATCTCATCTAATAAAATTGTGTGTTCCACGATTTAGGGGCGTTTCATAAACCTTTTGGAACCAGCCGTACCTGCTGAGCGAGTGGAACCGTTGTTTTTCTTTCAAGGTGGCCGGCCGCAGCTCGGGAAGTATTTTAGGATCCATAAAAGCAGCACTTGAGATACGAAGTGGGGATTTCATTCATTTCATTCCCACTTTGCTGAGGTTCCAACATAGCAACGGAGACGTCTATGAGGGCGGTTTTGAGAAGGGAGCAGCCCACGGTCGAGGCGGGATCCAGCGGTAAGATAAAGTTGGCCCGACAGGCCCGACAGGTGTGGAATCAAACATGTCGTTGGCCTAAGGGTATTGTACCAACTGAATCATTAATAATCAATGAAGTATGGATTTTAGTACTTTCTGGATAGCTTGAAACCACTGCAGTTCACATTGTGAGAATTAATATTCACAGCTTGGAAACATATCTGGTTGGTGGTTTTGAACATGTTCTATTTTCCCATACATTGGGAATACTAATCCCAACTGACTTTCATATTTTTCAGAGGGTAGGTATACCACCAACCAGACAGCTTGGAAACATATCTATTACCCAACCTGGTTATTTAACAGTTCGCCATGGGAAATGGCTCATAGAAATAGATGGTTTACCTGGGTTTACCTATTAAACATGGGTGGATTTTCCATGGCAACCAGCAACCAGCAACCCAACAGCAGCTTCCAGGGTTCCAGGATGTCCAGACATGTCCAGACATGTCCAGACTCCTGGCACAGCCAGTTCTGGGTGCGAAATTTTTCGGTTCCCACAATGTGGTGCCCCTGTTTGTTAGCGAAGTTGGTAAACATCACTAGGCTATATAGGGATATCTAGGGTTTACGGAGTTTACGGTAGATATACCTATAGTCTATAGTTAATCGGGTTCACAATGCAACTTCGAACTGGAATGCACCACATTGCAAGATGTGTCTTTCAAATCCACCCTTGGAGTGCCCCGAATCTGCAGACGCCATGTTCAAAGACTGGTCAGCTGGGCTCGATTTGTGCTGGTTAGGAAGCGTGGATGAACATGGAGAGGGTAGGGGCACGCCCTTGTAGCGGGAAAATATGGCATCTATGAGCCTATGAATCTATGACAGGCACCTACAAGCAACTCTCTGGTGCCACTTATTCGGGAGAATGGTACAAGGACCGCGGCCTGAAGCTGGTGAGGCTCGTTTGGCTCGATATCTTAAGCAGTTACTGGAGCACCTCAGTTGTTCTTTATAGCTGGTTTTTGTTCGTCCTTTGAATCCTGATTGGTTGGTGGTTAGTAAGCCCAGGGCAGGGCGCCCTCTTCCAGCCCTCAGAAAAGCCCTGTAAGGTAAATCTTTATGGGGGCTGCTTGAATCCCCATCTATGTCTATGGCATAACTCACTACCCCATAACTCTGTTTGTAGCTTAGCAAGTAAGCACCACTTGAAACAGAGTGGTCTGCAGCAACAGATATTTTTGCAGATCTGCACCCCAAGATACGTTGAAGAAAAGACTTGGTATGTCTTGGTATAATAATCTCCAAAGGTGTTGAGGTTGGTCCTCAACTCCTGCATGTTGTTTGATCATGACAACATTGATGTTGTCATGTTTGTCCACTGTGAAGTCTGGTGACTTGTACCATCCATCAGAAAAACCATCAGCATATGACCCAGGAAAATCCGCCGCAGGATCAAAAACATGGGCGCGGCCAAGAAGATTGGCCTGACGGCACCAGGCCTGACGGTTGATCATTTGACCCTTGTGGGTCATTTGAACTTCAACAGCCCTAAACTTTGCCTGGGTTTGAGTCCAGGATCCATGAGAATCCATCAGAATCCATCAAATCCCCCAGAATCCACCAGAAACCCAGCTGTTTTCGAGGTGTCAGACCAGCACTTCGCAGCACCATTGTGCCAGGTATGAGGGTGACTACGCTCACGGCGACAAGGCAGGCATCGGCAAGTTGAGTTGGTCTGATGGGTCAGGAGCTAAGGCGCACGTGGGCATCGAAGAGCTGGCTGTGGATGATTTGGCAACCATTTTCCCAATGGGAAATCCACTGGAAATGGGGAATCTATGGCAGCCATGTGTTGAAACCTTGGCCTTCCGAATTAGCAAATCCGTTGGATGATTTTTGTAGGTCAACTGGCAGGCTAGTTGAATACTGGCTGATCATCTTTGATCCGTTGCGAGAAATGGATGTAATAATGATGAAGTTGAAAGCTGATAGCCAGTTTTTTTCCATGAATCTCTTGCTGGGCATAGCTATATAGCTGATCTGCGCATGATTCTGTGGGTCAAGAAGCTAGTAGCTAGTATTACACACCGAATACCATTGTTTTAGTGTTCACTAGGGTGGCACAGTTTTGGCCCATCAGGTTTTTTTTTTTTGGCTTGGGGATGAGGTGTAATTGGAAGCCATGAGGCATAGCCAGGTCACTTGCTTGGTCCTGCTTGGATAATCTGAACGCAGAAGCCATATCCGATATCCCGCAATAGACTAACGTTCAAAGCAATTTTGAAACATTGGTTTGGTATATTTAACGCGTAACGCAATTATACACTTCCGATACATATGCCCCTAGTCTTCTTGCTAATTCTTGCTAAGCTGTCCAGCAAGTAACCAGGGGTCGGCGACAGTTTTTGTAGGAGCTGAGCTGCCAGCAAGGATCCAAGAATAGCAGAAGCAAGTGTTTTTTTTCTTTTGCAGGGTTTCAATCTTATTCCAACAGTCCCAAGGTTTTTGTCACAGTTGCAATGCCTTTAGTCACTATTTTGTTACGCTTCCAATCTTTATACATCAAACCTTGGTTGTGGAAACTGGGTTTGCTTGCCTGTCTCATGGGTATGTAAAGTTTTTGCCTGTCCCAGAGATGACGAGGAAGGCTTGGGTACTATTCATGGCTTAGTAATGCTTAGTGTATCATAGGATCCTGTTTCTTTGGAGACATATATTGGAAACCAGGAGATTGGTACCGTAGATCTTCTTAGTATATTGGGTTTTAAAGAATTATCAAAAGAATTATCCATATGCTATCCATGCGTATAATTCCAGATAATGCGGTTAAAACAATTAAACACCATCCCCCGGTCACCATGAATAGGTGGTATAAACCATTCCCAAATGGGCGGTTTATTATTGTGTTAACCACATTATTATATAGGGAGTAACCTATATGTTGGATTGCTCTACCACAACTGGACAACCTCCAGCAATCCCTGCTGAGGTCCTACTACGAGGGCTCATTTCGCAAGAAGCGCATCGATGGGGAAGGTCAGATGTCTGTATAGATACGGAAGTTTGTATGAAAACGGTATTCACCACTGGTTGGTGGTTTGGAACATGTAATTTTCCATATTTGGGGGATAATCATCAAAACTGACGTTAATATTTTTCAGAGGGGTTGAAACCACCAACCAGTGAAGTTTGTATGAAAACGGTATACACCATATCTAGTCAGACTATCTAAAATACCACTAACATAGTACTGATATGGGTTTGTTTACACCACAAAATGACAGTTGTAAGAAGTTATCACAGAAAAATGTGATGATAAATTTATGATAGTGGCAATCTTACCGGGAACAATGATGGTTACTCAGGGAAATAAACATGAGTTCCTTCATTCGGTTTATATACCGAAATAAACTTACTGGTGCTTAGTAGGGAATGGATGGGAATGGAGGAATGGGACTATTATTGATAGTTATTGTGGATCATTCCCTCATTCCCTACTAAGCACAAGTAAGTAAAAAATGCAAACATGAACAATGTATTGGAATGGTCAAAGTGATGATTTCCAAGCCGATTCAAGGGTGCCACATGGTGCCCCTGTTTTCCGACAAAGCATATGCTGCGTTCTGTGCTGATCCATGATGCTATTTGAAGCATTTTCACATCCCCCAGGAATGCGTATAGGCTGGGATTCTCCGAGACACACACATAATTATATATATATATATTATATATATTATAATAATATGTATGATATATAATGTATATATATATATATTATAATATATAATATATATAATATACAATATATATATATAATATATATTATATATTATATATATAATACAATATACATATAATATAATATAATATAATATATAGTATATTTAATATAATGTATATATATAATATAATATATATAATATATATAATATATATAATATATATATATATATAATATATATAATATATATAATATAATATATATAAAATATATAATATATATATATATATCAATATATATATATATATATAATAATATATAATATATAATATATATATATATAATATATATAATATATATAATATATATAATATAATATATATATATAATATATATATACTATATATAATAATATATATATATATAATATAATTTAATATATACAATATAATATATATAATTATATAATATATATATATACATGTGTGTGTGTGCGTTGGGGTACCCCTGGGCAACAAATGTGATGAAAGTGCAAAAGCAGCATCTCAAAATGATGATCATATGAAACAACAACTGGTAGTGGTAGCGTCCCCATCTTCTTACTAACCCAGTGGGTTAGTACACTATGTCTTCAACTTTGTGTGGATCCATAATAGGTGGGTATGGATCAAAACCTATTCTTTCCATATTTGGGGGAATAAACAGCGATAATTCGCAGCTATTTTAGGGTTTCATTGGGGTACCAAGCCATATCGATGAACGCAGGGACGTACTGCTGGGCTGATGGGCGCAAGTTCCGGGGGCAGCCCGGGATCCCAAGCCGAAAAAGATGGCCATCCTTTTCCTCGGTGGAACAGTCAGTTTGTTTGGAGATGAAAGGGGGTAAAGTCATGTAAAGTCTGTTCTTGGATCATATTGGATCCAGGAGCCATGTCTTTAGTGTGTTCTTGATCATCAGCTGGAGGGCCGCGGCTACCCGGATAAAGATGCTGCCCGAATCCATAGAGGTTTGAACATGGGGAATAGCCCGTTTGTGGCTATTTCATTGGCGAACATCATCCATTAGATGATCAGATGTTAAAATTGTTTGCCGTGATTTTTAGGTCAGGCAATGCGGCAAACTTCCCAGTGAATCATAGTGAATCCCAAGACCTGATTGACATTGGAACAAAGCAACTAGCGCAATTATATATGTTTTTTGATATCATATAATATTATATAATATCATATAATATCATATAATATTATATTAATATTATTTAATATTTTATGATATTATATAATATTATATGATATTATATAATATTATATGATATTATATAGTGGAAATCATATTGGGGTCATTCTTGGGAGTCTGTGATCCTACAATTGACTATTCATCCCGTTTTATGAGTTTACAAAAATGTTAGACCCATATTCATGCAGGTAGAACTCCACATAACAAATATCAGGGGGAAGGATCTGAAATGATCTAAGATGCTTTAAGCCTCTCAAACTCCAAAAAAAAGTCCTGAATTTCCCATTCAATGGATTGGTTTAAGGGAAAATCGAAACCGGAAACCATAGTTATTTTCCCATTTTTGATCATGTAAACCAATCCGGTGTTTTTTTTTGTCCCTGAAAAACCAATCCTGAATTTCCCATGGAACGAGGCGTCTCATGCGTCCACCGAGGTGGAGACAAGATCAAATCCATGGCAAAGGTGCCGGAAAAATCCTGGCCATTTGACGGTCAAAATTCATCAGCTGATTGAATAGGAATTTGCACCAGTAACGAATGGATGTAACCAGCATAGTGGTTATACCAGAATATAACTATACAACTACTATATAATCATGTTAATATTATAGCCAGCATAGTGGATGATTTTTCTATATGTTTCTTCTTTCATATAAATATCATTCATAGATAACTTTCAGTTATCAGTGGAATTGGCCGTTGAATATTGATCAGGTGTCACAATTTACAAAACAGTTCAACATGTTCAAATGCCCATGCGATTGTCACTTAGCATCTTTGGATGATTTTGGATCTTCCAATATGGACTTTTGAAAGCCACAGAGAAACATCTACAACGTAGCAACAACTCCACGGAGCAACCCCCACCTGGGAGGCACATTCACTTGGCCCGATGGTCGGAGCTATGAGGGCGAGTGCCTCGGCTGCCTCGGCTTGAGAAGCTGCGATTTCCATCGATAAAACCACACATTTTATACAATGTGGGGCCCCCCAGTTATAAGTTGGTTTATATAAGCCCCAGTAACTATAGTTATAAGTACAATAAACCATAGTTATTGGAATTATAAACCAACTTAGCTATCTAGGGGGCTTCACATTGTAGGGATCATTGGGTATTTGGGATACTTTTGGGATTATATTGATTACGTATATAAATTCTGGGTAAATTAGAACGACCGAACCCTGTTCTCCCGAACCTGGAATCATGGTTTTTATAGGGAAATCATCCCTATGTGGGCCTTAATTCAGGTTGGTGAATTATAATTTCATTTAAATGTGATTTTATGGGGTCTTCGTCCCCAACTACCCGATGATATTTGATAAATATATTATTTGGGGATATAACCAGCAATACTTGGGGAACATGACGATACTTACCGGGATTGTGTGGGATATAGAACCAACCAAAATGATGTTTGGAATGCCTGAAACTAGCTGAAATGGGGCGATGCATACTACATCATACTACATACCCCGACCTAAGTTTTGCCCTACTTGAGTCGAGCTGAGTAGACCTTTTGCAGCATCTTGGTATTTTCAAATGAGCATTCTGTGTTTTTTGAAAAATGTTCCATGCTAACAGGGGTGAGCTTTTTTTTGCCATTTTTTTGGGATCGGTTGGACCATCTCCGGGTATGTCCGATCTAGGTCTTTTTTTCACTGCTGGTTTGCCTTGACCAAAGAGGATGCACTGTCCGTGGTTTGAAAAGGGTTAAAGTTACCGTGCTTTTGGTGCCTTTCTGGACAGATCCATCTTAGACTTTGGGACCTAATCAACACGCCAAGCTGATCTAGATCTAGAAGAGTGAATCATTATTTTGAGGGTCACCAATCATGGTTCCCTTGCAATGTATTTCTCAAAACGATATTCTAAAGTGAGATCAACTGGAGAAGTAGTACACTTGTGGAGCTTCTTAGTGCTATCCATCTCGACAACATTCATACAATATGATGTATTTCCACTAGTCGACCTGGCTCAAAGTGTTGACCCCCAAGGGTTTTCCACCTGTTCTGGTGGATCCGTTCGCCCAGCTTTGGAGAAATCCCGCCAGAATTTTGGGGTCGGAAAAGCCACGGGAAAAAGCCCTAAATTTCATGGTTGAGAACCTCCTGATGAAAACAATTAGAGAACTTTTGGGCCAGATTCCATAGATTTTCCACCACTTAATAGAGGGTTCACCAGCATTTTCCACGACCAATAGGTAAATGATGATAGATCTGGATAGATTCGATTGTGACCTCACGTCGCGACGGCGGAATATGGCGGAATGATGGTTTGGGATTGAATAAATTGGGGATAATTTCCCCAAATCGCTTTAATTCAGGTTAGTGAGTCACTACAATGTGAGGCCCCCTAGGTAGCTAAGTTGGTGTATAACTCCAATAACTATGGTTTATGGTTCTTATAACTATAGTTACTGGGGCTTATAAACCAACTTATAACTGGGGGGGCCACATTGTATAATTCATCCAGATAAATTAGTGAAGCATTATCTACAGATATCTATACCATGAATTAATCCAAGAGTGGTGGACCTCCAATGACCACACATGACTAGTCACCAGTCCCTTGCCGCGGAAGTTTAGGTATGAACTCGACAAGAAGCACGGCTATGGCACCTTCACCTGGCCCGATGGACGCAGGCGGCATGGGCGGCGCCTGGCTAGGCATCATCCCCATGGCAGGCCTTACTGTACTCAGCTATAGCTTCAGGGAATTCTCAGATCATTCAGCCAGATTTTTTTTGCCATCGACAATGGTGATTCAACATGATTTAAGCGTGAACATTTGGGTTTCAACCAGGAAAAACATGGATTTCATTTGGGGTGTGTTTAGAAATTGATGATTAAAGTCGGGGAGAATCTGCCATCAAAATCGTGGAAATGAAGATGGACCCCCTAGCATTGGGGTACCTCGGAGATAAACCGAATCAGGTTTCTTGGTGAGTTGGGAGATGCTAGTGACCCACAATGACCCAGATATTGGGTGGTTTTAGTTGATGTTTGACTGGCTTCGAATTAGTGCTATTCAGATCTATTCAGCTAATATACGAACTACGGGGAAAACAACTTCAAACTAAACATTATGCGGATGTATCCAACAAACCAACATCCAATGTTTGGGTTAGATACATTCATCCCACCTTTGCATATTGATGTTGAATAAATAGGCCCTATATGGCCAATCCGCAAGTGGAGATTCATGGTGTTGGGTTTATAATATGTTTACCCGCCGGTAAACAAACATGGCAATGGAACATCTACCATTGCCATTTATAATATATAGATGATATTGCTATTAAATCCTCGTTTTTAAGGGGGTTCCAGTTGCGACGGTTGAGTTCCGGAGGGGTCAACCTGCTCCATGGCCACCGGCAGGTATGTTGGAGAATGGGCCTATGGTCATCAACACGGCCAAGGGTGTTTGCACAAAGCCGATGGTTCGGGCACTCAGGAAAGATCAGCTGGGAACGGCAGCCGGCATGGCATCATCCCCAAACGACGCGATTTCCACACCGTGAAAGTGCAGAAGATGCTTTTTTTCGTGGAAGTTGTGAAAATGCGGGATATCATTTTTTTTGGTACCCATATGTTCCCTGACTTGTAGTATATATGAACTATATTGAACTAAACTATGTATATATATATATATATATACGTTATATATATACACACATAGCCATATATATATATATATATATATACATAGCCATTATATATACATAGCCATATATATATAATCATATATGTGTATTACACTATCTATATATCTATCTGTCTATCTTTCTGTCTATGTATATATATATATATACACTGTATCTCTATATACATAATATACAATCATAATATGTTTGTAGTCAACTTGATTTGATGCCCCATTGTGTGTGTGTGTGTGTCGCCGCTGGATTGCCATCAACCACCACAGCTCCAAGGTTCTAAGGAAGACGGAACCTGGTCTCAGGGGAAATTTCTGAACGACACGGCGTAGTGCGATAGCTACAGCGAAGGCATGCGAAGACAGTTGGGGTGCAGGCTGAGCTGCTTCTAAAATCCAGATGACCAGTTGGAACAGGGACAACATTGAATTTGAGGTAGCATATTCTCGGGGAAACCCATGTCATTGATACAATGTTCAACATCATGTTTGACATCACTGTCATGATCAACAGTACGACTATTAACAATGATGACGCCGTCATCATCATCAGCAGCAGCATCAACAAAGCAAATATCACCATAAAGTAATTATGTAAATCAAGAATTATAGAATCCAACGTCACTGCAGTATCAATAGTGCCATCCTGACCAACCAGACCATGTTTTGGTGAATAACTGGGCCTTGGCCGACCTTCAAAGGATTTCCATGGAAGTCCTATCCTACAATAATCAGAAGCCATCCACGATAGGGTAGTCAATACCATCATTTCTGGGTTCTATTGCAGATATCATGGAGGCTTCCATTTTGATTGGTCAACTCCAAATGTGCCACATGTGCCACAGCGCAGCTGACGAATGAATCTCCATTCCATCCTCAGGGTCTTCCTCCTCGAACCCATTCCTTGAAGCTGTGAGGAAGAATCACATGGCTGAAAATGTGCAGCATGATCAACATGTTTGTTTTTAACACACACATTGAGGCTTCGCACTACGTCCCCATATATGATATATATATATATATGGCAAATGAATTATTGGCCAAATTCCATGCAACTACCCGATGTGAGACTCTAATATCCACGCATTTTGCCTGATCTCTCATTGGTCTTTGTGCATTTGCGCTCCGCGAGCGGTGTGACTAGCCATGTTGGTCACATCGGCAGTGGTGGTGGTAAAAACATGGGAGTTGAAACCTGCCAGAAACTACCCCTAACAAATTCTGTGACATGGAGGGTGATCGAAACCGACCCCAAAACAGAGCAGATACACTTGGCATCACAGGGTATGTTCGGTGTTTGATCAGGAATGCTGGTGTTTTTCCTGGTTGGTGGTTTGGAACATGTTTTTCCATATATTGAGAAGAATAATCCCAACTGACTTTCAATTTTTTCAGAGGGGTAGGTATACCACCAACCAGTTTCTTTGGTATCCGGCCAGACAAATACGCTTGTGCTCGGCTACTTTTGACCATGATTTGCTCATTGACAAGGACTGGCACCATCCGGATGGCTGGAATGACCCTATGTATATCTCAACAATCAATGTTACCAGGGGCTGGTAATTTGTTACATAGCTATTGAACATTGCCATTTATAGTGGATTTTCCCATTAAAAAATGTGATGTTCCATAGTTACGTTAGTTTACCAGAGGGTATTCCCATGCCCACGCAAAGATGTTTTGACATATTGTAATATTGTCAATGTGTTAACAGTGTTTAGTACTAACCACTGTCACCGAACCACGGCCATCCTTTCAATCGGTCATTCATTAAAACAAATTAAAGCCCTACTTACAGCACCTCGCAACGATTTTGATAGCACCACAACACCGTGAACCCGGTGTCACAGCCCTTTGTTAGTAACGCGGTCACGCCGAACGGTGGGCCGTCGTTGCTGGCTGTTTTTCTGACGCAAAAAGAGCTGCGTTGCGCCCAGAAGATGGCTAGGTAGGTTCCATAGCAGATAGGGCCCGGGCCCGGGATTGCAAGCGTTTGCTGCTTGCATCGTAGAAACTAAGGCTACTAAGGGTTCTTGTCGGTAAAATCACATTGATCTTGACCTAAATCGGCGCCTGGCCGGCGCCTTGCCAGATGGCAAGCCTCACCTCCAAGAAACTACGGGTCATGTGGGTTCCCCGCAATGCAGTGACAGCAGGACAAGTGCAAGATTAAAGATCCTTAGGGATGTTGTTTGGTGATACTACTGTTCTCTTCATTATCTTCATTACTGGTTTAAGACCTGCAAACATATAAACGCGGAGAGTGTTTGGGAGTTCTATTCACGAACCATTTCCAAAAAGGAACTTCAGGGCATATCAAGCAGTTGCATTTCATTTTCTACCCCTACCTCACTGAGCAGTTTTAAACCTTGGCGTTGGTTTACGTTTAGTTCTTGGGTCATACTAATTGATTACCCATTAATGTTATGAATCAATGCAGAAGCCTGTGAAAGCCAAACTGTATTTGAATATGTTCCAATAAGTGTCTATGTTTGGCTACAGATCCTAATTGTTGTTCGTTCTTTTCCCATGACTTTACCACTTTATCCAATACAGATGGTTCCAATGTCTAGACGCTCCACTGCTCAATCGGCCCAGACTTCAGTGATACGATCATCGCCATCAAAGTTGTACCCAACTGTTGATTGGTTATAGGGAGTTCTGGTTGGTGGTTTGGAACATGAGTTTTATGATTTTCCATATATTGGGAATAGTAGCCCCAACTGACTAAGATTTTTCAGAGGGGTTGAAACCACCAACCAGAGTTATATAGTACCTTGTTATTGGGGATTATGAACTAACCCATATGAATGGGAAGCCGGGAAACCGTTTTCAACATCGATTAACCAACTAGTATTTCATGAGATGGCAAAGGGATTTTAGCTGTGGCTTACTTGCTAGCCTAGCCTGTTCACCAGTTGGATAGTAAATCCTCCGACTGAGATTAAGGATTCCATTTCCAATCATCTCATTCTATTCTATACAAATACTTTAACTATCTTTAACTTCATGATATTTGATAATTCAGAAGAGTGATAGGAACCACTTGAGCAGTTGCTGCTAAATCCATGATGGCAATTCTTATTCACCAGCCAGTGTCTTTTTTCCGGGACGAGATTTGTGGTTTTGAACACTGCTCACATACCCTCTGGTAAACTAACATAACTATGGAAAATGGACCATTTATAGAGGATTTATGATGATTTGCCTAGCCAAAATGGTGATTTGCCAGTTCGCTACGTTAAATAACCAAACGGTAAATTTCGAAGAATCTCCCACTCTCCACATTTTGGCTCCGTCTCCAAGCGGGTGACCGGGTGACCCCGTGACCCCGCCGTGCGATGATGTGCTGAACATCTCAGGACGTGAGTTGGGCGAGCCGTTTAGCCACGCTTGGAGCGACAAAAACAGAAGCAATTGGATGGGATATTGACAGAAGACACTGGTTAGTTTAACCAGTAATTATATATATAATATATTATTATATACCCTTACAAGTGGGAAGGAAGGCAATGGATTCGAACCGCCCAGTTACTGACCAATGAACAATCTCCATGGCCAATCTAGTTTCAGTCAAGTTGAAAGTGGACATTGGTGGATCCATTTCCAGCAAATTTGGAGCATTAGGCCAAATCAGAATGATCGATTCAATCTATTTGTACAAGGTGGAGCCCCATAGGTCGCTAAGTTGGTTTATAACTAGAACAAACAGCGTTTATGGTAGATACATCAAACTACTTAATGACTTATAAACCAACTTCTAACTAGGGTGATCCACCTTGGAACTGCACCTTGGCCAGATGCTGAAGTTGCTATATATAGATCGATTCAGGGGATGTGTTGGATCATGTTCGTTCTGGTCAGACGAAAATCTGAAAAACATATGGGGGTGGGTCAAAACTTATTAAGGTAGGTAAAACAATCATCAACCATCACCCAAATCACCAAAAATAGATGGTATAAACCACTACCAAATGGGTGGTTTAATGATTGTTTTAGCCACATTATTATCAATTTGAGTGGGATGAACACCCATTGGCCAGCTATTTTGGGGTTCACTAGGTGCCAGGGTTGTGACCCATAGCCGTTTTTTTCCCCCAGCCCGGTTTCTATATGTACATCCTGAATCCACCTCATTCATGATAGATCCGAGGCCACCTGTACCGCTGTTTGTAGCACTTATATTATATTATATACCCTCTAGTTATTTAACATAGCCATGGAAAATGGCCAATTGATAGATGGTTTACCTATTAGAAATGGCGATTTTCCATGGCTATGTTGAATAACCAGAGGGTATATATATATATATCAGTTGGTACAACCAGTATGTCCAAAGAAACCTTCCACTTCTTGCCTGTTTTTTTTCTCAACTGTGCACCGAGTCATTGTACCCCTGAGTCATTACCCCTTGAGGGAACTCGAAGAGAATCAAAGAAACTGTATGGATTTGCATGATGGAGTCTTATTCAGAACATGGTTTTCCCCATATGTTCCCCATGTTGTTTCATGTCTTTTGCTGGAAAAAATCGCGGCGGGAAATGTGCAACTTGCCAGCCGCTGATCATCCCCATGTTGGAAGGAGCAACGAAGTCTTCGCGCCATGTCCGGATCCTTAAAAGTTGGAAAGTTGGAGCCACATCCCATGGTGGGAAGTAGGAAACAACATGAGAATATGTCTTGTATTCTTGGGATCCGAGATATTGTAGAAATCTGATGAATATGCTGGCATATTGAAATGATGTTGTTGTATGTTGTTGTGTTTCTTCATTTTGCCGTTTATAAACTATGCAATGCTTGAACTTGTGACATACTTTCAGGTTTGCTCCATTTTTTTGCTCACAAAATGACTTCGACGTATTTTCCTTCTGAAAAGCAAAGGGATCGACTTTGCATGCATTTCAACGACATGGACGATGAACACCGAACGATTGCAAGTTTTCCAGCAGATGCTCCAGAAGCAAGTTCTTTCCAGCCGATTCTGTAGAGTAGCATCTACCAGGTTCAAGCTATATACCCCAGTATATCATCAACTGGTTGGTGGTTTGGAACATTTTTTTATTTTTCCATTCAGTTGGGAATGTCATCATCCCAACTGACTTTAACTCCATTATTTTTCAGAGGGGTTGAAACTCAACCACCAACCAGATTATCATTAACCATATAATAACCATTAATATTAACCATATATTAATAGCATATTACCAACCAATGGTAGGTGAACCGCCAACCAGTCAAATTATCCTAGGTCCTACCACTGATACCACGTGATAAGTTTCCTATACCGTTGCCCTCCGGTCATCCAACATGGCTAGGTGGGAAATCCCCGAACTGATTTGTTTTATAGCTGAAAATAGGATTTAATAGGAACATCATGGAACTATTTATGGTGGATTTTCCGGCAATTTTACGTATGATGACCAGTGGGTATATTTCAGAGATCCCAAAAAATCAATGATTATCCCTCTGGTAAAATGTTCATAGATGGAATACCCGGTGAATACCCATGTCATAAGTCCTATGTATTATGGTATTCCACTAAAATTTAAGATGGGATCCCATTACCATCCCATCTCTAATTTTCCCATGTTTATCCCCTTATCCCATTGTTATCCCACTGGTATCTGGCTACCTGGCTACCGATTTGAACGCCATTGAGGCGCCTCCAATCTGGCAAACAGCCAAAATCAACAAAAAACATACTGGGTACAGTTTAAAAAAAAAGCCCATGGTCAAGACATGCCTGGATTTTCAAGATGGTGAAGAAACAAATCTACACTCCGCCAGTACCAGGTAGTAAAGGTTTTCTCGTTATATAGTATATAGTAAATATATGTAAATATTTCATTAGTATATCAACAATAATGATATAATGGTACTAATATTCTATCAAATATAATTCTAGTCAGTATATCCCAGTGGTATACCAATTATTGGATCCTA